TGGATTCAAGCTCTCAAAGGTTGTCTTAATCGCATATGTTTCATTTTATGGAAAAAGAATCTTCAAACTATTTGAGGTTCTTTCTCATTGTAGTGTTCCTGTAATTCATTGTTTAACGGACATTTATTAATTAGCTGCCATGGTTACATGTGGGTTAAATCCCTATAGAATATGGTTTCAGCCTTAGCAGTAGATCTATAGAGGCCTAGATCTAAGCTTTTTGTTTGTTATATTTGTTATCCACATTTGTTATATTCACATCTTTGGTATAATTCGAGTTGAAAGTGCACTCTAGAAGCTGAATGCCAAAAGTTTTCATAACGCATGTTCACATACATTCATTGGAGCTAATTTGAGGAAATACGGTTGAGGCCAGGGGCAAGATCGATGACTATCTTTCCAGCTCTGAAAGCACAGAGTCAAGTTCCCACTCGTGGCAGCTGCTCAATAAACACAAATCACAGACAATCCTAAAGTATCACAGTTGTAAAATGTGGTAATAAGATTTCAAAGAAAGAGGAATCAATATCTAATTTACAGGCAAGAACATACAAAAATGTCATTAATGTTGTGACTTTGTAGTGCCTTATGTTAGGACACATATGCTTACCATAATGAAACATGGGGGAACGGCAGTTCAGCACTCAACTGCTAACCAAACTACTGTAGATTCAGACAGACCGAAACGTTCCTGGGAGAAAGAGCTGCTACTCGATTCCAGGAAGGATTCTGGCCCAGAAGAGCCCATGTGCCAGTTCTACTCTGTAACTTGAGATGTTTGAGTTACAACTGACTGCATGACACCTAACAACATTAACATACACTATCAGTGGGAAAAATACAAAACCAATCCACATATCTTACGAAATGCACTTCTTTGGGACTTTTGGTAACATGCTTCCTGGCTTGATCCAGTCAGGAATGAAAAATCGGTAGATTGTTTATTCGCTGGGGCTCTGGGACTGCTTCTTTGGAGCTATGCATGAAACTCCACAGCAGTCGGGTGGGTAGCATCATGATTTGCACGTTTCCTATTTTATAGGTACCTCTTTTTCCTTTTTAAAGGAAAAGCGAGGGAAGTATTAAACGCACAAGCCCTCTTTTGCATGTGTTTCATTCTGAATAGAACAGTCACTAGTCCACAGCTTTTCTTTCCCCCAGATCCAAACGCTTGACCACTAGAGCAATTCCCGATGAAGATCAACCACTCCAGGCCTCAGTAGGACTCAGCCTCACCTGAAAGAAAACAGAACTCCTCACATCTGGACCCAGGAGCAAGGTCATGGGAAGTGGGAAAAAGATTGACGGTACACATTTCAGTTTACTCGCATCCACCACCAACACCCATGGAAGCAACAGTCAAGAAACCAAATGGAATATTGCATTTGACTAATCTCTTGGCAAAAGACCCCTTTGAAGCATTCAAAAGCAAAGACGTTACTTTTAGGCTACATTGCGCCTGACTCAAGCCATGACGTTTTCAATCGCTGCTCATGCATGTGAAAGCTGGACAATGAATCAAAGAAAGGCTGGAGAAAAATCCGTGCATTTCATATTGACTCTATCACAAGGCATTTTGTCTCAGAAGAAAGAAGCACCGTGGAGTGCTCTGTAGAAGCTCGCACGCACTTGTTTCACGCACTTGGGGCGTGTTGTCGAAGGAGACTCGTCTCTAGAGAACATCATGCTTGGGACAGGGCAGATTCAATGAAAGGGATGCCCCTCACGTAAATGAGTGGACCCACTGGCTGCGACCATGGGCTCGAACATAGCAACAGTGATGAGTGTGGCACGGGGCCATATGGTGTTTGTTGTGTCGTGCATAGGATTGCTATGACTGGAACCATCTAGACGGCACCTAACCCCAACAGCATGATGCAGAGTTACTCACCTGTTCCTCCTTTCGTTATCATTCAATTACTAACAAAGTGCTTTCATTTCCTTTTTTCAGAAGAGTGTCTTGGTGCAGCACAGGATGTAAGAGAACGCTCAAAGGAAAACCAGGTAGATTTGGTGCTGCCCGCGTTTGGAATGAAGATGAGAAAGATAAATTGGTGCCCTTAAGGATGGCCTCTCAATTTCCCTTTATCTCCTTCTCTCCTACACACATTTTATTAGCCTTAGGCCAGGAAGGGAAAATAACATAAGCGCTATCACCAAGCGAAATCAGCTACGGAGGAGCTGAGGCTGTTTAGGGGAACGTCTGGGACATTTTCATAAATCTCTAAACTCACATGGAAGCACTAACGCGGTGAATGGGATTTTAGA